ATCCTCTAGAGATACTCTGGGGTTGGGCACTCCAGGTTGGGCACTCCAGGACACTCTGGGGCTGGGCACTCCAGGGACACTCACTCCAGATACACTCTGGGGCACACTGGGCACTCCAGACACCTCCAGGGACAATTTGGGGGCACTCCAGGAGCAGACAGGGCGAGGAAAAGAGTTCCGGGCGAGGAGAAGAGTTGAGTTTAAATTCTAACAACCCCACACCGAGGGTGGGAAACAAACAGATCCAGCCGAGCACGTCTGAATCCACGACCTTTCATGGGTTTCCGAAAACTGGGGTACCTTGTGGGAACGTATGGGGGGGGGGGGGTTGGGTGGGCATATTCAGCGCGGAACCTCGGCCAAGACTCTGTCAGCTATGTCCCTCCCTGAGCATATAAGTAGGGTGGCAAGTAGGGCAACTATGGCTATAACCGTATTTGGGTCCCCAAACGAACCCCAAAGGAATAACATTGTAAGCCCCAAGCCCGTAATCCTAAACCCGAAACCCTAAACCCTAAACCCTAAACCCTAAACCCTAAACCCTAAACCGCAGCAAACTGTCGGGCTGGCCGGTGGTGCACCCCAAGAGTTCCAGCCGCCTCTGACGAGCTTGGACAAAGAGCTTCTTGCTTGCGCGTACAATATACAGTGTGCATATAGGTTGCTTACAATGCTTACAATATATTGTATATTCTACAAATACACATATGTATATTATGTATATATATATATATATATTGTTTCTTAAATTATCGTATATACATGTATATATATGTATACACATGCTAGAATCTGTCTTGGGTGCAGGGCCTGAGGTTCAGTGAGGGTTGAGGGGTTCAGATGGCTTTTGGTTCTCGGGGCAGGTGGTTCATGTTAGGGACTCAGGTTCCCGGAAAGAGGCCTATGAAAGTGCCATTGACACATCGTGCTGCCGTTGTTGCTGCTGTTCCTACTACGAATATCAAGTATGAATACTCCCAATATGATTGCTGACCTCGTTAACGGAATTCTTATGCTTTTTCATCATTCTGGAGATTGACAATTTAAGGGTTGTGTCGGGACAATGCCGGTAATCATACCTGTACCTGGCCTTAGCCTAGTTCTGCAAGGCTTGTCGGACAGGTTGCTGATTTGACTTCTTCGCTGGTCACAGAGGTTGCAGCCCACGAAGCATCAGAGCAATCGGAACAACAATAACAAAGTTTTCAGTTGGATTTTCGGCAGCGAGCTACGCCACAGGATTCTTCAAAAGCACCGTGCAAAGCCGTGCAATGCGGCATTGGCTCAGGGAACTGTCTTAGGAACCCCGCAATGCAAATTCAAACAAGCCCAAACTTAACACCCTGCGCATTGAACCTGCTAGTATCTCGAAATTTCGGATCGAGACCCCTCCGACTCTCCAATTTAGATTCCACCGAGCCATGAGATATCAGCAGCTGGACCGTCCAGAACTACGAGTACAGAAACAAAACAAAGGGCTCACCATCATAGCCTGTACTACTAATTGCTTAAGAACCCCGAAAACATAAAACATGTTCTTCCTTATTAAGGGGAATACAGGGATGATTATTCATTCTTCTTTTGGGGTTCTTAAGAAAATAGTAGGATATTGATACAGAACACATGTCCATGTGTTAGTTCCAGGCCATGGTGCAACGGTTGGTGCGCCTGGTGGGGCTCGGAGGCAAGGCGAAGAAAATCACCCCTAAACCCTAAACCCTAAACCCTAAACCCTAAACCCTAAACCTAAACCGGCACCCTCTCGCCTCATCCCACCAAAGTGCCAGCGGCGCATCTTCCGCCAAGCCCCATGGGATGCTAATGACGATGATCTTCCCGTCCTTGAGGTCGGGAGTTTAGGGTTTAGGGTTTAGGGTTTAGGGTTTAGGGTTTAGGGTTTAGGGTTTAGGGTTTAGGGTTTAGGGTTTAGGGCCTAGGGCCGAAGGCTGCTTGCGAGGCTGGGCGCAATGCAAGTGTGCCTGAAACATTTGCCTCTTTGACTAGTCAAGTCCACCCTGAATCTGTTACACCAAGCTCAAGGGTTTTGGGATGTTTTGTACCATACTCCATTTGGGGCCGTGGCTGGTGTCTGAACCTGAAGCAAGTCGTCCGGACCTTCGGCCGCGCGAGATTTGGGGAGGGAGCCTGCTCTGAGTGAAGGGGAAGCTCTAGAACTCAGAAAACAGCAGAAAGAGGAAAGGCCTGTTTAAAACCAGGATTGGCGGCGGAGGACCAGGCTTAGAGTAGCACATCAATCAGATCACATCCGATCTCCAGCCTGAACCTGGTGGGCACAGTAGGGTCCCTCTGGGGGTGCCCTCTATGACTACTAATTGCTTAAGAACCCCCAAAAAACCAAAACATATTCTTCCTCATTAAGGGTGATATGGGGATTTATATATTTTGATTCTTTTGGGGTTCTTAAGCAAATAAATAGTAGATGAAAGGGCCAAGAAGGACCGAAGCCTTTGAAGGCCTGCATGTGTAAGATTCCAGCCGAGAGCGGCAGGGATCTGAACGTGAAGCAGCTCAAGGCCTGCCCCCAACAGAAGGAAACCCTAAACTCTTAACCCCAGACCCTAAACCCGAAACCCTAAACTGTGCGTAGCTTGGCGGAGTTCTTGAGGGCTTTTGTTGCCATGTTTTGGTCGCCTACCTAGTTTGGGGGCTAATGGGGCTCAGGGGTTTCGGGCTTCGGCCACGGCAGCTAGTTCAGGCTGCAGGCCGATCAGAGCTTCGCCTCTCTTTGGGAAGCAGCTGAGTTTTGGCAGCTTGCTCGCAGGATCCAAACCACAACATGAACTTGCATCTATCCCTTCGCAGCTCTTCCCACCTGCCCCCCCCCCCCCCCTTCCCCCCCCAACCCCTAAACCCTGAACCCTAAACCCTAAACCCTAAACCCTAAACCCTAAACCCTTTCGAGGCCCCGGGCCATCGTCGCCGCCCTCCGGAAGCGGTGCAGTCGCGGACGGCTTGTCGAAGGCGCTGGGGGCGAAGGAGAGAGTGGAGTCCTGGCTCATGGGCCCAGGACCCACTAGAGGGTTTAGGGTTTAGGGTTTAGGGTTTAGGGCTGCAGGTTGACAGTTGAGGTTTGGGATGCACCTTGGACTGCAAGCTAGCTGATTACATGGCAAGAAGACGACGGGATCCGCCACTCCGGACCCCTCTGGTGCTGACGTGGAACACGACCTGAAGCATCAACGTATCAACGGAGAGTATACCGGATCCTTGTCAACCAATCGGCCCGTGGAGACGCATAGAAGTGGAACAAGCCAAACGGACCGAAGCAGCAGCGGAAAGAAGAGCAAGAGGACCTATACACTCTTCATGCGAGGTTGCTGTTCCACCTCTGTAAGTAACGGTGTAGGCGCTTTGCCTTCAGACGGACATGAGTTATATGAGTTCCCCACCCTAATGCAGAGGGGTTCGGCGAACCACCAACTGAAAAACCGAAGAACGTCTCCCCATCTCCCAGCCGCCTGGAGTGCCTTGCCTTTCCTCTCCGTTGCCTGAGCGGGTTCCGATCTTCTTCCTTGAGTTTTGGGGATTCGCTGGTCGGATCATGGCTTGCATGTCAAAGTGCAATTGGGTGCTCAGGGCGATGGGATGCTACGTAGCCCCAGAGCTCCGTGGAACTCTGAGTTACTCACATCTCCAATCCTGGCTGCTCTGGAGCCCCCGAGTCGTCAAGCCAGCAACGCCACCGTTTGCAGCGGCCCCCCGAAGATCTCTGAAATCTACGCCCCGAAGCCGCCACAAAAGCCTGGGCCTAATTCCTAACCCTCCGCCCTAATTGGCCCTGTGCCATAGCTGGATGCCGAATGAACTGGAGCTCCCGGCTGGCTCCTTTGGCGTACGCCCAAGCCTGAAAAGAGCAGGGCAAGCGGCAAGGTGAGCATTGAACAGTCGGGGTGCAGTTCGAGAGCTCGGAGGAGGTTGCAAGCAAAAAATGAGAACAGCAATATGTTTAGGGTTTAGGGTTTAGAGTTTAAAGGGTCATATGAAACACGATCAATGAGAACGACAATGCACACCAGCTGAAGATGTGGTTTGAGGCATCTTGGCAGCCAAAGTTCTTCAGCCTTAAGCTGGACCTCATGGACGTCGTTAAGCTCCAATAGAGACGGGAAATAGATCAAGGGAAGGGCGTGCCAAGAGAGAGCCGGCAAACCTTGAGCATCATAATATCTGATCTAGGTTGGCCATTTCAACCCTCGGGCAAATAAGGTCCATATCGTAGAATGTCTCTACACAAATACCCCAAGGTCCGATCTAGGAATAAACCCGCTCGCTGAAGCCTCTCTTGAGCCCGACCCTGCGAAGCCTTCAAGCGACCTTGAATCAAGCCCAGAACCGGAGAAGATGCCGCTCCCGCTTGACAGCCCAAAAGATTCAGACGGTTTAGGGTTCAAACTTTCCGGCGCCGTCGGACAGCCTGAAGCGCCTGCACCCCTCTTCCACAAAGCCGCTTGAAGCAGACCCAAGACTATAGAAACAAACATCAAGATAAGCCCAGTTGAGGAAGCTGAAGTTCGCGCTGGTCTCTAGCACCCGATACCCGCGTCACGCAATAGCCGTGTCTAGGGACTACAGTTTCGTTTAACAATTTACCCCCCGGACCCTTAAACTCCAACCCACAGCCCTACACCAGTCCAAAGGGCAGCAGGAACTTTTGCAGGGCCACAGGTAGTTCCGAATGAGTACCCGCCTGCGCTCGCAGGGTGCAGGAGGTGGTGATCGACATAGATGATACCCGGTGACCCCAGAAAAAGGATTCAGATGAACATCGGCAGATGTTGCGGCTCAATGCCATGCTTGGATAGCCATTTCGTAAATTTCGTAAACAGGAGGCCAAGCGGAAGCTGATCTTCTGAGAAAGGAGGGCTGATTGCGTTCTGGGCTCGGCGGGGGCGGGGGGTGTTGGACTCCTAAACCCTAAACCTTCTTTTGCATCCGGACTCCCGTAAACCCTAAACCCTAAACCCTAAGATTCCAAAGCTTCATAGGCATTGGATACGGATTCCGGCCTGGATCAGCGACGCTTTCAGCCACTCCTCCAGGCAGAGGCGTCGATCCTGCAAGAACAGATCCTCACACTCTTCCACTCTTTCACCGGGTATAGGACGAATAGATCACAAACAATCAGAACAACATGAGCAGCAACCATGAGATGTTGAATGTTCATACTGAAAAAGCCGCATTGCATCAAGTAATATAGGGGTTGGAATCTTTCTTTCTTCGGGGCATTGGCCCCCACCCTTGCCCCCCTGGACTCTCTCTCTCTCTCTCCTTCTTCTTCTTCTCCACGCTTGAGAGGACCCCCCCTCTCTCTCTCTCTCTCTCTCTCTCTCTCTCTCTCTGCCGCTGCATCCAACGGTCCCACCGCGTGAGGCAGCCAAAATACCCGCTCAGATCAACAGGCATGAAACCTGCAAGCCATGCTAAACTGGGGTGTCAAGCTGCATGGCCACCCTCAGAGGTCGTCATCTCAGCCTTCACTCTCTCCAGCCACGGCTCGGGACATAGGAGTCTAACCTCCCAAAACCCTAATTCTTCTAATTTTTCAGGCCCCTATATTAAGCACATTATCATAGGAGTTTTGACTTTCGGAGGCCGCCCAGTGTGAGGACTCTTGCAGCGGCAGCTTCAGGACCAAAGGGCCCTCAAGCCTAAACCCTAAACTCTCAACCTAAAACCCTAAACCCTGAACCCTGAATCCTAACCCTTCAAGGGTTTGAGAGCATCCAGTTCACAACGGTAAGCCTCGATCTGGGCTGCGTTGGGCGTGAGCCAGAGCTTCGGTGGGAAGCTTCGCATCGCCTGGTAGACGCCATGGTTTAGGCTTAGGGCTTAGGGCTTAGGGTTTAGGGTTTAGGGTTTAGGGTTTAGGGTTACAAATGAGCAAGTTCTATTTTGCAAATAATATGCCCGAAGATGATACGGAACTCTGCATATACACCCCAGGATAGTACTGAACAAAGAAGAGGTAACTCTTGTAGCACAACCTGGTACCAATACCTGGACAAACAAATTCTGAGCAGATACTTGCTTTTTACCAAGACCCAGAACTAGCTGGACGTGCTGCGCGAGCGACTGAGATGGCGGGATCTTTCGCCTGAGCCACATGACTTCATTAGGCCTTCGCTGCCGCACATACAACTTGGGACCATAACCTTCGGGAATCTTGCTTTGGTGGGTTGCCCCCCAACATTGTCATGTCTTACAGATAGGGCACTTGAAGACTGCAGGCCTATTGATTTTTCAGAAAACCGCTCCTGCGTTGGTCAGAACTCCCCATGTCGGATCTGAGTCTCGGACCAGTGCCCGGAAATGATTGTAGCGCCCTCCAGGGGGAAGGATGGGCAGTTCTTAAAGGCCTTCTCTGCCCTTGGCAAAAGAAGGCCCTTTTGACGGGGATGGGGACTTTAGTGCCTAATAGCTCATCCCGGCCGCAAGGGTCTCACCATGCAACCATGAAGGATATCATAGGGCTCGCTCGTCCCTGATCTCTGGTATCCTGTTTGCTTGGGCAGCAAGCCTCGTCCCCGCTCCTAAGAGTTCGGTGCGGAGGTTCAGAGCTTAGGAATTGCAAGTTCCTGTCGCACCCCCCACATTCCCACATTTGCAAACATGTACCTTTGTGCACCCAGACTCTTTTCCTCATCAGCTGAGAACAAGAGCACACCACTTGAACCCTGCAAATCGACCCATGCACCTGAGGCCGTATATACTTAGAGAAAGATGCGGGACCACATAGACTCCTCACCCCCCCCAGCACCACAAAGGACAAGCTGCATCCGCACCAAAGAAACCAATCAAGAGCCAAACAGAGAAAGGCCAGCAATACAATACAACAGGGATCCTGGTTGCTCGGAATGACAACCTGAAGGCCGACACATGGCATTGGAGTGCCGGTACCAAGAAGAAGCACCAGGCAAATTGAAGAGCTTAGTCCAAAGGTCTTCTGCCACTGCGCTTGACCTCTGAACCAAATAAACCAAGACGAGCCAGGATGACCCTAAACCTTAAACCCTAAACCCCCAAACCCCTATGGGGGGTTTCGATATTGGGGTTTAGGGCCGGCGTGGGTGGAACAATTGCACAATGTTTCTCCGTGAATCGGGGCTTTGTGGCCCAAGAACAACTCTAGGGCTTCGTTTGGCGATGTCAAGAGGTCAAGCATGTTGCTCAACTTGTCGCGCTTGGCTTGCTTTCGTGTGCTGACTTGTCAAGCCGGAGCCGCCCCGAGCAACACCGAAGTTCCGTACGCTTGGTGAGGCTTCGCACCCTTTATTCGGCCCTCGATTTCGCAGAATATCTATAGGGTTTAGGGTTTAGGGTTTGGGGTTTAGGGTTTAGGGAAGTCCCCCCATCTACACTCCGACTTCAACCCCCGGAACCGAACGTTAGTCTGAGCAGGCGCACGCAGGACTTTCCACGGCGCGGCCCCATTGCCAGGAGTAACAACGACCTCGTAGTAGATGACCTTGCCGAAGACATGAACGCCTGCCCAGAGCCACTCACAGGCATTCTGAGGACTTTGGGTTGAGAGGTTGTGGAGATGTCTGCGAGAAGGAGTGTGGCAAGTAGACAGCGTAACTTAGAACTTCGCATCCGCGCCTTCTGCTGGCAGCGAAACGCTCACGCCATAGAGGTCTGGAGACGGGCCGCCGCCAACAACGACCTTGCCAGCAGCGCCACAGCGAAACTGGTAGCGCTTTCCGAACCGACCCTTCCGATCGCACACATCATTGCGAACCGCAAGAAGCTAGAATCAACCCGAACTCCGGCCAAGGTGCCAACTCCTCTCGCCTGGGTCGCAGCCACTTCTTTGGCACTGGAGCCCGGGAAGCTGGTGTTGGAGGGGTGCTGAAGATGAACACTGTGGCGGGGAAGTCCTCAGAACTCCCAGCACTTCACACGCTGCCTTCATCTGCAGCCTAGATGCTTGACCAAGGGAAATCTCAACAGCAGGTTACCATCATCACATCCCACTTCAGGATGATGCATGAAGAAAAACTCGCATCTCACACTTGGGCGCTTGGGATGGGGGTGACATTGCTGTCTTCAGATGCCAAAGGCTCCCAAGGCAGGTTGTGATGTCGATGGTGCCTGTGGTGTGGAATGGGATGCAGGTGATGCCGATGATAGTGGTGGTGGTGGTGCTGCTGAGCCGCATGGTGGACTACGTGGACTGAATGTCCTCGATGCTGTGATCCATGCGAATGATGCTTTGTGCCAGAGTGCCCAGATTGAGCGCTGTGGGCACGATGGTGGTGCGCTGAGTGGTGATGCGTGGTATGGTGGTGTGTGGTGTGGTGGTGGGTGACGTGGTGATGCACTGTCGGAGTGTGGCAATGATGGACCGCGGCGCAGTGTCCATGCGTCATCCTGCAGCTGACGTTCAGACTGCTGCCGCTGGCTTCAGCACTATCGGACAATCCTGTCAGTGACAGGTCGTCACAAAGTTCCTGACGGAGAAGCTCCGAAACCGCATGAAACCTCTCTGAAATGAAAGCCCAGCCCACCTTGGACTTGGCTTCGCAGGTACCTCTCCTACCGCCCTTGAGCCGTGAGCTGGCAAGAAAGGACTTACGGTCAGAGCCCGATCGGAAGGTGCCGCAAGAAGGAGCCCAACTAGGACCTGCTGCCGCGCCTGCTGGTCATCTTTAGTGGCCCCGTCTCCCGCATGGAAGGCGGCACGGGCGTATATACGTATACGTATGTATGCGTATATGATATATACATATATATATGTTCATGCTCACTTCTTCATGTATGGAAGATTGGTATACTACGCCTTCGTGCTTCAGCAATCAAACTGAAAAGCGTTGAAAGAATGGGATGGGAGGGCTGCAGTCACTAGCCCTGCATCCGAGCACATCGCAGCTGCTCATTCTTCATGATCCGGGTCGTTCTCCTGGCAACAGCTTTGTAGGTTCTAGGGTTCAGGGTTTATGATACTGGGCGTTGAGCTCCTCAGCGAGTTGGGACGAAGCTTTTGCATGATTCTGCGGACGGCTCTAAACCCTAAACCCTAAACAGCGAACCCTAAACGGCTCTAAACCCCCAAGCTTAAGCCTACCACGCGCCTCGTCTGCTTCAGTGCGGAAATGCACACTGTGCGTCACCTCAGGGGGGGGGGGGGGCTTTCAACCTGCCTTCCAGGGTTCAGGGCTTGTGGATCTTGGCTCTGAATGGCACCCGCCTGCATGCTGACGCGCATGCTTACCTTATGCGCCACACTGCTGCACCATCTTGACCTTGAACCCTTGAAAGCTTGAACCCTGCCAGGAGAAAAGAGGGGGCCTCCTCTTCATTGCCCTCGGATCGATACTGTTCGCTGTGGGTGACCTGTCAACAGGTCTGGCCAGGCATGGGTTTGTAGGATACATGTCAGGTTTACTCGTAAACACCCCACTCCCCCCCCCCCCCCCCCCCCCTCCCCTGAAATTGTGTGGTTTTGGGTTTTGGGTTTAGGGTTTAACCCTGCAAGATGTTCAAAGGCTTGGATGAACACTAAGCGACGCAGCAATCGATGTTCTAAAGTAGTTGGCCCCGTCGGTTGAAGCCTGCTCAAAATAGGTTACCTATGAGACCTTGACGTGACTGTCTTGCACCATGCAGCAACTACCTGCGGGTCTACGCTAGACTTGCGCCCCCATCCCTACACATCCTGAGCTCGGAACATACGAAAGCCCTGAACAGACACCCATGCTCTAGCTATACTCCCCTTAGAACCTTGACAAAAGACTAGTTTAATACCCTCTTAGGATTTACATAAACAAAAAGAAAAAATAGTTCCCAAGGGGGATATTCCGGGATATAGCTAAGCCTAGACTCCCAATCCGTGGCCTTCTTCGGCGTTTTGAGGCTGTACCGTGAGGCCGAGCAGAAGGACATGCTCGAGGCTGTCAGCAACCTGAGTTTAGGTTTGTGGCTGCCTCATACACCCCTAACCCCTAAACCCCAAACCCCAAACCCTAAACCCTAAGCCTCTTATGTGTACGCTGTTGTCGTCAGAGCTGTTCTGACTGTCGTTCGCTGCTCCTCTTGCTGTAGCTAGTGTCGTCGTCCTCACCGCCACAATTGCAGCTATTGCAACGTAGCCTCACATGTTGCAAATGCGCAACGGCTCTATAAACCCTATAAACCCTATAAACCCTATAAACCCTTTAAACCCCACAAACCCTATAAACCCTATAAACCCTATAAACCCTATAAGCCCTACAAACCCTACAAACCCCTCTGGTACTTGAGAATCCGAGATTGACGATCCCCCCCACCTTGGAGAGGCTTCGTGCTCGTCCATGGTAGTCGCCTCAGTGGCTTGGTGTTTGGCCCAATTTGTTTTTGTCAATGAAAACCCAAGCCCGGTTTAGGGTTTAGGTTATCTAAATTCTAAAGATATGTGTTAGTCCGCACATCAAAAGTAGGACGACAGCAAAACGACGGAGGGACGACGGTGGGACGACGGAGGGACGATGGTGGGACGACGGAGGGACGACGGCAAGACGACGGAGGGACGACGGCAGGATGACGGGGGGACGACGGCAGGACGACGGGGGGACGACGGGGGCACAACGGCTGTTGCGCCGTCGTCTCGTCGTCGTCGCGCCGTCGTCACGCCGTCATAAGGCCTAGTTTAAGCCCAAACTCGTCAAAGCCCTGACGTCTAGACCCCTCTAGCTGGACTAGAAACCATACCCCACATATCTCTAGAACTTAGATAAGGTTTAGGGTTTAGGGTTTAGGGTTTAGGCACTGCCCACCTTGCGATGTCACTTGCGGACTTGCAGCTAACGAAGGCTGGATTTTGCATGCTTAGCACCGATCTTCTATGATCACACAACACCTAGGGTTTACAGGGTCTCTGCACCCTGCACCCATCAGCCTGTCACCTACGGTTGCGCAAGCTACGCCGATTCAGAGTGTGGTGTTGAGGCTGCTCGATGCCAGATGGCGCTTGAGGGCTGCTAAGCTGTTTCGGGCTTTAGGGTGTTAGCTGATCCAAACGAGGAATCCAGCCGAGTCACCCCGAGCCAGTGACCTGGGCGGAACCGACGCGCGATGCTGAGCTGCTGGGGGATTCAAGGTTAAATGCTTCTGATGGCTTCGTTACGGGG